AAAACGGATGCCTCGAAATGTTGGATGCCCCGGTATAAACGGATGCCTCAAAATGTTTGATGCCCCGATATAAACGGATGCCTCAAAATGTTGGATGTCCCGGTATATATATGGATGCCTCAAATTGTTGGTCTGATATAAACGGTAAGCATTTAAATGTTGGATGTCTTGATGTAAATTGTTTCCAAAAGAACATTGAATGCCTTGATATTAAACGGTTGCCCAAAACTTTTTGATGCCTTAACATAAATGTTTGCAAGAAGTTGGAAGCCCCTATATAATTGGTTGCTTTAAAATGTTGGATGTTTTAATATGAACAGATACCTCAAAATTTTTTAGGCCCTGATATAAACAGATGCCTTGAAATGTTTGATTCCTCGATGCCTAAAAGCTTTGGATGCTCCAATATAAATTGATGCCTTAAAATTTTGGATTCTTCAATAGTGCCTCAAAATGTTGGATGCCCAATATTTACCAAATGTCTCAAAATGTTGAATTGCCCCGACATAAATGGATGCTTCAAAATATTGGATGCCCAGATAGAAAAGGATTCCTCAAAATGTTGGATGCTTTTATAAAAATGGATGCCTCGATTGGCGTTTAAATGATGGATGCTTTGAGATAATCAGTTACCTCAAATGTTGGATGCTTCCATATAATAAGTTTCCAAAAAAATGTTGGATGCCTCAATGTAAATGATTTCGTAAAAATTGTAGGATGCTCGATGTAAATGGTTGCCTAACAAATGTTGATGTCTTGATGTAAACAGTTGCCTTAAAAATGTTTGATGCCCCTGCGTAAACGTTTACCTAAAGAATATAGGAACCGGTTAACTCAAAATCTTGGATACTTTGAAATGATTGCCCCAAAATATTGGATGCCTAAATATAAATCCTTGCTTTGATTGATTGGTTACCTCAATATATAACATTCCCAACTGCTCCTTTGATATATTGGTTGCCTCAAAATATTGGTGGTTTTAATATAGGTTTCCTCGATAAAAATGGTTCTCAAATGATTGGCTGCCTCCATATGAATGATACAAAATTGTTGGTTGCCTCTGTGTAAATAATTGCCTCCAAAAATTGGTTCCTTGAAAATATTGGTGACCAAGTATGTTGCCTCAAACATTGGTTGTTTCAATATAGGTTATCCCTATGTAATCGATTACCTCCAAATATTGTTGCCTTGATATATAAATCTTTCATAAATGATTGTTTCAAAAGATAGGTTGCCATTATATAAATATGTTTCTTTGAAACATTGACAATCACGATACAATGTTGCCTTTGTTGTCTTGTAATTGGTTGTCATGATAAATATAGGTTACCTCGGAATCCTGGTTGCAGCTTAGAAGGAAGTTGCCTCAACGAAGGTGAAACTTTTGGCTCAAAATTTGGTCAGCAATAAGGTTAAACTTTCTGTAGAATGCTTGTCCCATGACTTTCTGCAACCGTCTGACAATTAGATTGTGGGAAAAAAAGTTACATGATGATATTTTATAACAGTGGGAAAAAATGGTAAGAAAACTCCTAAAAAAAATATCACTTTCTTCAAATGGGAAAAAAAATTTCTTACCTCTTTGAAGTAGTGGATGTTCTGTTACTGACCATCATTATTGCTTTGGGATGTATTTTTTCTTAAATTCTTGAAACTGCGCTTCTACGGACACGTATGCTATAAATGTGGAGATATAGCTTGTTGGATTATGCTATGACTCTCATACCATGTGTTTTTAAGAATGACTCGGTTTACTTATGTTTTGTAGACCAGTGTCTACTAAACGAAGCATACAAAATGAGTAAGAATACAGGCTGCACCGAAAATGTTTGTAGAACGAATTGAATGGGGAGTAGCTACATTTTGTTTTTTCAAATTTTATGCTGTTATGAAATGATGGACTGAATGGAGAGGGTGAGCACTACAACGAGGGAAACGTCAATTAATGGTGCTATGAATGATCCTTTTTTGTTTTCCCAAAATTTGAAGGGGATTGTCCCAAAACAAACTGGCCATTGTTTGTTTTGTTACTCTAGGGACCAGCTCCGAGTAAAAACTAAATTTGATTTGAGAAGCGATCTTGGTGTAGTAAAAGGAATTATAGCAGGCTCTTGCTTGAGATGGTGACTTCCTGATGGGATAGTATGTTTCTTTGTCAGTTAACATATATGGATGGGATTATAAACAGTTGGAATTAAACTGGCATATTAAAGGTGACAATACTCATATTTGGCTTGGTTACAGTTGAATACGTCTCCTCAGGAAAGAATGCAGCATAAACTTGTGTTTATTGAGACCCAAGATGTGGTGGAGACTATTCTGGCTCTCGACAAATTACCGCAAGGCTTGCGATTGTGGGAAAGGTACTGTGTTTTTCTCCGTATCCAGGAATCATATTGCGCTGTCAATGCTTTCCCTTCTCTTTTTGAACTCAGCTGTTACAAACATGATCAGGAGAATCCTCAATATAATGCTCAATATTTCTCTGTCTGGATGAATAAACATTAATTACTATCGAGTATAGTGCATGACATTTTTTCTGCTTCATTTTTCCGGATGAAACATGTGAATTTTTTTCATATCCGTAGGACAAATATCACTGTGCTTCGAGTGTATTTACAGCAACCATAAAAAAAAAACATTGCAAATGGGAAAGATGATGCAACTAATGAGAATAAGAGGCTGCCTTTCGACTTTGGACTAGCAAATGCTGCTAAATATTACCACAAACTGCCATGGTTCTACCATATCATTTATTCTCTCTTTATGTATCTTATACCTCACTTATGAATCTGAATTGTCATTCGTTTTTTAGATTTGATTTTACCACCTCTGATATAGGATTATCATATGTGATAACCACAAGTTTCACCATTTTATAGGTGGAATTTGTTCCAAGGGTGATTTTTGGTAATTAGTACTATTTGACATTATTTTATATCAGTCTGATGCTCATGCTATAATAACAAAAGATATGATATTTGTTATTCGTTGAACTTTTATAGTAACAATTTTGTGTTTAACAAAAGAAATTGGCAGGGAAAATTTGATTGGTATTTTATTCTTAATCCTAAGCTGTTTCTGCTAGCTCAATGTGATTGAATAGTATAGTACAGACATAAATATGTGAATTTTATTTCATGTACATTGAACTTTGCTTTAAGTGCATTTACAGCCACCATAAAAGAAAACATTGCAGATTGGAAAGATGATGCAACTAATGAGGATGTTAAGGGGCTGCCTATGGACAATTACATACAAACTGTCTCAGGTTCTACCATATCATTTATTCTCTTTATGTTTCTTGTGCAAATCTGCCTTGTTCGATAACAATTTTGTTTTTAATTTTCGGCTTTTAAAAGTTATGCTTATACCCTCACAAATTTGTTATGTTTTTCCTACGTAGCAATTGAAGTCCTTTTATCTCGCCCTTCTTGCTTTCAGGCATCATACCTCATCAATTCCTCTCTCTTAAGTTTGAGAGGTCTATTATATGACTTTTTTTGGTTGAAGTCCATCCTTCTTCACCTTTTAGGGCCAAGGGGTGGGATGACAGTAGAATTAGTGATTTTTTCTAGTGATTTTGAAAAAAAAAATTAAGTGATACTTTAAGAATTAATTTAAAGTGATTTTAAGTTTTTCTAAAATCGATTTTTTAATTTTTCAAATATGATCAATGAAAGAGAAAATAATTTTGACAATGGTAAAGTGATTTCATCCTTTCAAACACATCCTAAATTCTCCGCAAATGAATTATCAACTTTAACCAAAATTATCGTTAGCGTAGAAGCGCTCTCTTTTTTTTTTTTTTTTTTTAAACAAATGGTTGTTTCTCTAGATCTCTAAGCCCAAGGTTGGTTAAATTTTTTGCTTTATTTTATTTTCTAACATTACTGTCTCTCTTTCATTCATTTTTCTCTTCAATTACTCTATTTTTATGATTGCTTTGATATAACGATTACTCTTAAAAATATTTGTCCATTTGATATAATTCTTGTCTCGATATAACTGCTACCTTGAAAATTTGGTTGTCTGTTTCTTTCAAATGTGATGGTTGCTATTAAAATAATGTTCTTCAAATATTTCTTGCCTTTGATAATAATGTTTTTTTTTCCAAATATTGGTTGGCTTGATAGAATAATTGCCTCAAATAGTTGCCTTGGTATAATAGTAGCCATCAAATATTGGTTTTCTTGATTTATCGATTTATCTCCGACTATTGATTCTTCCTCGACATAAATGGTTGTCTCAAAATATTGGATACCTCGATATAAATGACTTTCTCAAAATGTTAGATATCGCGATATAAACAGGTTAGGTGTCTTAAAATGTTGGATGCCCCAATATAATTGGGTGCCTCCAAAATGTTGGATGCCCTGATATAAAAGAATGCCCCAAAATGTTGGATGCTCTGATATAAGAATGCCTAAAAATGTTGGATGGCTTGATATAAATATATGCCCCAAAAATGTTGGATGCCATGATAGAAATAGATGCCTCAAAAGTTGGATGCTCCGATATAAACAGTTAGCTCAAAATGTTGGATGTCATGATATAAACAGTACACGTTTACATGTTGTAAACGGTTGACTCAAAATGTTGGATGTCTTGATATAAACAGTTAGTCTTAAAATGTTGGATGCCTATCATAAATGGTTGTGTGAAATGTTGGATGTCAAGATGTAAATGGATGCTTTTAGAATGTTGAGTGCCTCTAAACGACATGCCTCAAAATGTTGGATTCTTTGATACACATGGGTGTCTCAAAATGTTGGATGCTTCGATATAAATGAATGCCACAAAATGTTTAATGCCCGAAGATAAGTGGATACCTCAAAATGTGGGATGTCCCAAGATAAACGACACGTTGGATGCCTCAATGTAACCAGTTGCTTAAAAAATGTTGGATGCCTCGATATTAAATCATTGCCTAATAATGTTGGACGTCTTAACATAAATGGTTACCTCAAAATGTTGGAACGTCTAAGGCACGGATGGCGTTGATGGATGGCGGGACCAATGGCGAAGCACGACTACGAGGAAGGATCGCGATTTATGGCGAAAAACACGACGAGACCAACGCGAGATCCATGGGATTGCCGATGATGCCGATTTCGACCTTAATATATATTCCTTTTAACATGGGATTGTTGAAGTGGGTTCTAATTCTTGGAAAAGAAAACTGTGCATGAGGATTCAATATAGATATGACCTTGCTGTTTCAAAAGTTTCATTCTAAACTTTAATATTATTAGGGAGCTTCTTTCATTAAAATCGATATGAGATTTTAACGGCCTAGTAACTTGATGCAGCTTAGCTGTTTAGGATTTGAGAGAGATACTTTACTTCTTTTTCACAACCGAAGAGTAAAAATTTAGACAATTCTCACAATCAATGTACAAAACTTAGGTTTAGGCTATGAAAAATGTCAAGGAATATATCAACAACATCGAGAAAGATGATTGTGTTATTGTAGATAAATACAGGCAATGGTGACTTCATGGATGAACAAATGGTTCTATTTGGACAACTTAATAGTTCAAATGTTGAAACAAAATTTTTGAAAAGATAGGAATGTAATTGAAACCCACGGACTACGGTATATCAATGATATTTTTTTATAATTTAGAGTATATTTCTCAAATATATGTATCAATTTTATTAAGAATATAATATTTCAAATAAAATAGCGGTGAATTGAATATTTAACTATTCAACTCATAGAGRTACAAATAACATAGTTGGTTATTATCTATTTCCAACATGAACATAATTCAGCGACAATGATAACTCATTATTTAACTACGCCAAGTTTTTTCCTTATTGAAAATATTATATTATTTTCTTATAAAAATAAAGGAGCTAAAATTGAAATATAAAGTATTAGGTAAAAAGTCAAAGGAAAGTTTAAATTTTTACCCCTAAAGGCGAGATAAATCAATTTATCAAACTTTCACCAACATATTTTGTTGAAATTAGTGAGTAAATCTTAGATTTTGAATTAATATTGCAATTTCTACCTTTTACATTTACTCACTAACTTCAACAAAGTTCTAAGTCATAGTCCAATTTCAAAAACTAAGAATTTTTTTTTTTCTAAAAGCTAGTTTTTAATTTTTGAGATTTAGCAACAATTTCAAAAGTATTTTAAAAAAACATGAATTAGAGTAATAAATAAACAACTTTTTTTTATTATTAGCCAAGAGGTGAGGATTCGAACTTCTATCCTTTTGGTGGAAGATATATGTCTTAATCAATTGAATTATGCACCGGTTAGCCTAAACTTTAATTTTAGGAAGAAAAAAAACAAAAACAAAACATAATCATTTCAGTGCTGGTTGTACTAAAAAAAAATCACAAACTTATAGCCCATCCCTAGAATGTTCAAAAAGAAAAAGGAAAAAAAAAAAAAAAACAGGAGTAATGAATAGAGCAAAGGACCATGAGAAAAAGCTTCATTATAAGTCAAAACTGTTAAATAAATAAGTACATAGCAGAATGTTTCTTCAAGTACCTATTAAGTTCCATCAAATGGGTTCTGGTAGCTTTGCTTCTTAGGCTGATTCTCTACTTGGATTTGTTTCTCTAAAAGGAGAACTTGAAAGCGCCCGCATTCGAATCTGCTACAGAGTCCCAAAAGGAAAGTTTTTTCTGCTCCGCCTTCTTCTCTTCAGCTTTCTGAGCCAACTGATCGATGGTTCCGGGAAAAGAAGCATCGATCGCGTTTTTAAACTTGTCATACAGATTCACACGATCTTTTGTTCCAGAAACCAACATGCTTGCATTTGGTCTTTTAAGGAAATCCAAGACATTCAACAGATTTCTTCTGCAGATCAGGAACTAGTATCAATATAGACATCCCAATGATATGAAATGGAACTCAGAAATTATGGAGCTGCTCTAAGTTCTCACTATGGGGGAAAAGAAAATGTGCACATTATCTTAGGGTGATCCTCGAGAGTTGCCCCGTTGCCCAGGCTCCCCTCAGGCAACAAAAAGCCTATATCTCTCTCTCCACCACTGTTTTGTTTCTGTCTACTTACAGTTAGTATCCCACACTAAGTAACTCCCACCTTTTACTCCCACCGCCACCTCTCTCGGGCTGACTTTTCTGAATAATCATTGGCCCCTATTAGGCCTCCAATTGTTAATACTTATGTTAGGAAGGTAAATAGGGGATTGCACCCCTGACAGTTAGTTAGGGAGAGGGATGCGCGTATATGTGTGAGAAAAACATGAGCAGGGAGGTTTATGTTTTTTGTAAGTAGCAGGCTGGGGGTAGGGAGAGATTACCAGCGCTCTCGAAAAGGCTGGGAGGTTCTTGTAAGGTGCTTGCTCTTATCTTTTGAATATATCAAAGACATTGCGAGGGAGATACCTTACACACGCATTTGTCCTCAACCGTCCCTATTACCTCGCTTCTTATTCCTTTTATAAAGTAATTTAGCGTCAAGCTTATCGCAAAAACATAGAAGATGGAAAAATATGCCATACGCAGAGATGAGGCGACAAGATTAGTGGACGATTTCGAAACATACTTTTGAAGTGAAAAGTCAACTATATCAGATGAATCCTAATCTTTCAAAAAAAATGTCAGGATTTGACTACAAGTATAGGGCTTACATAGGATACTAATTCCTACTCTATCAATAACTATTTGCGCACAATTTATCCATGATTATAGGAACAGCAAGAGTAAGGAAGTCCTGGCCATCGAGACGTGTATTCAAGGTATAAAACAATTCCATTCACTTATCACGTATCGCCGAGTCACACTTATAGTTATAGCAATGGTCTAGCCTTACTCATAAGGTAAACTATTTACTTCTTGGCTATCCAACAAAAATATCACCCTTGTCTACTTCACCAATGATACTTTAAAACACATAAAATGTAATCATACAAGAATTTAGTTACCTGCTGACATAATTCTGTGTGATGGCAATGGACTCCTCCAAGTTGATCACCAAATGCCACCATCCATTTGGCACAAAGATCACTTCCCCAGCCTTGCAGATGCACTCTATAGGCTTCTTTTTCCAACTCTTTGTTGCAGCATAGAAGTTCATGAACCACTCGATTATGGAAACCGGGCAAGCGACCTCAGCGCCATCCGGGCTGGGATGTACTCCAGGCGGGACTACATCAGGTGGAAACAGAACCCACTTCTTGGACCCCTTAATCACTGCATTCCAAGCTGAAGTCGAATTAGGATCTATGTGGAACGACGAGCCAGACCCGGATGGTCCAATTATAACCCACCGATGATTGGGTCTTTCCTTCCCCAAAACGCTAAACAAATCTTCTCTGAAGTACTCTGGAACATCATATTCTAATCCCAATCTTGGAACCTTCTCTGCAAATGTGGGGTCGAAAAGGTACAGTGGTCTCTCCTCTCTTGCCTGATCAGAGTACAAAAAGAACTCCTCAAGCTTCAGATCCGCTGGCCCAACTGAAAACCTAACATCACCACACAATTGAATCAAATAATCTCTGTTCCATTTTTCCCTTGCCACCCAATTATCCAAACACCCTTCCAACAGCACAGGCTTATTGGGTTCTTCAAAGTTCAACACAAATTCTTCAACCGAAATCCCTTTTCTTCTAACAATGTTATCTCTTTCAAGCCACTCATGTTTCATTTCAAGGTTAGCACAGAGCCAGCTCTGAAATAGATAATCAGAATAGAAATCCCTCACTCTCAAACCCGAAATTTCAATATTACAATCATCAAATGAAGAACAAAAAGCAGCTATATAAGTAGATTTCCAAGTCCTATTATACAGAAAACCATCTTTAACACTATCCAACACAAGATTCCTCCAAAGAGGCTCATGATTGGCAAAAACATAGAACGATTTGCTCACAGTAGCCAAAACCCCTAAATCTGTAGCATCAAGCAACCCTAAAATATCGAGAACAAGCTCATCGGACAAGATATACAGATTACCCAAACCTGTATTTCTCGTGTTAATGGTGCCGGAAGCGAGGTAGAAATTTCCTAATGGTTGGACGCCATGATTAGAAGATGTTGCGGAGGATTTGAGGCCGAAACCAAATTCGCCGCCGCCTTCTTTGCATTCGGGAAATTTGGACTTCGTGGGAGAGGAATTGAGAGTTTTGCTCCTGATTTTCCTGCCTGTAATTTTCTTGCTTTTCTTCCTCCTTATGGCACGAGAAAGCAGAGTTTTGGAGCTTAACATTTTGAAGCTTTCGTCGTTTTGAAGCTAAAATGGAAGAAACCGAACTCTCGCCGGCGGAATGCTGCTGCTGCCGCAGGGTTTGGGCGACAAAGGTAGAACTGTAGAAGAAGAAAGAATAATGTCAAATTCGAAAAAAAGAAATAATAATAATAATAAAATCAAGTTGCATTTTTTTTTTAACTATGAGAATTCAAACCCACCGTTTATGAATCAATAATGGTAAGTTGAATGGTAATTGACATATATCTTCAGTTGAGTGAGTTTGATCGTCGATCTCACAACTTATATTTAAAAAAAATTATATTCAAATGGTCAAAAATTTACTATCTATATCAATTTTTACTCTATCCGGTCAAATTTTGAACACACTATTTACCTTATATTACATCAGTTTTCAAAAGTATTGTTAACCATTGTACTTAGGGATGAAATTTAATTTTTTGCCAGAGTTGATTTTATTCATATTAGTGAAAATGTTCACATAATTTTTTTTTTTTTTTTGGGAATAAGTGGGTGAATTGGTGAAAATTAAACTGAAACAATTATCTAAGTGAAGTATATGGTTTGAAATTGATAGTTAGAAAGTGAAATTGATACTTTTTCTTTCTAAATTTTATTTATTTATTATTATTTTCATGTTTAAATCCTAAACTTTTGTCAATATTTATTTGGTTTATTAAATATTTGTTTGTATGTAGTATTATATTTAGCATGTCAATCTAAATATAACTAAAATATATAAGATAATTATTGCACAATTTTTTACTAAAAAAATAATAATAATAAAGCAATATTTTTAGCACGAATTTTAAATTTTGTGAAATAGTTACATTTAAAACTCTTAAATTTTATGAAAGTTACATTTTGATTTTTTTTTTTAAAGCAACATTTTAATCCTATACTTGCGTTTTTATAGTGAACTTTTTTCAATCACTTTGAGCCGTTTGTTTAGTGGGAATCTGAAATTCCCGTGAGACGGACATCTGGATTTCCACGTTTGTTTTGCAGTAACGTAAGATAGTCGGATATCTCGAGACGTGCGGACATCCTAAGATGCCAATATAGAAGGCATTTGAGTCAATTTGAATGCCCTTTTGAAACATGGGTTTTCGAGATTCTCATGTCGATGACATCTCTTCTTTACATTTTTGTCCTCCGTTCGTTCAAAACTTTCTTTCATCAATTTTCTATATCTTTACTTTTAATTTTATAATTCAAATTAATTAATGTACTTATTGACTAATAAATAACTTTATGCAATTAAATATTTTGATATATTACATTTACTTATAAAATAAACTTCAATTGCATTATATAATATCTCAATTTATTTTTAATATGTGGAATGAATTATTATCAATAACATTTATTATCTTAAATATATAATTTTAAAGCAACGTTTTTTTAACCATCAACATACATTTGATATTTTTCTTCTTAAAAAATATAATTTGATAATACGATAAATAAATTTCACCTCATATTACATTAATTATATAATTGTCTTTGAAAAAATATTGAAATTAAAATGAAATTCATATTTAATATTAATAACTTCTTAAAAAAATCTTATATTAATATGAATTCTACAAAATAACTTACAAATTAATATATACGGAATTAATATAAAAAAAACAAAATATTAAATCAATAAAGACAAGTTTATTATATAAATATATTATATTAAATTAATATGTAAATTACGTTAATATTATAAGGGCAATTTTGGAACTTTACATAAATTTACAACATTCCAACAATAAATCCTCCAAAACAGATGTGGCTATGCAAATATTTCTAGACATCCTTATAAATTTTCTTACAAAACAAACATCGCTATCTGAAGATGTTGATTATCTAAAATTCCAGACATCTAAATATGCTATGCATCTATATTCTCAAAAAACAAACGAGCCTTGGCATATAAAATACATATTGCATTGAATCTTTTTGCCTTATTAAAACTAATCGTAGAGTTTGTAGATTTCAACTATAAAAAAAAAAAAGGAGAGATAATTAGATATTGTTGTCTAGAGATATTATCAGTCTGCTTTCAACTTTTCAAAATATTTATCTTAGTTATTATACTTTCAATTTTTATTCAATTTAGTCTCTTTACTTAACGTTCATTTTAGTTTGTGTATTTAAGAAAAATGATTATTTTTGTCCAATTTCATCTCTTTCAATTACAATTTTAACACGAAACTATACTCAAACGTAGATTTGTACTAAAGATTTTTTATTATAAATTGTGTTAAAGTTTTGGAAATAATACCGAATTTAAAGTTATCATTTTGAAGTTTCAGTGACTAAAACGAAAAAATAGTTAAAAAGAAAGTACGACGAAAATAGTATTTAAACTTTTTATTTAGTTTTATAAGTATCATAGTTACTTTTAAATATTGCCCACACATGGCCGACGATAGTATGTGCATATATGCCCATTCCATTTCTTCCCATAGTGTAGTCATAGTTAGGGTATACATTTTTGTCAACGTACCAATATTTTCATGGATATTTTTATTTTCAAGTATTTATGGGTTTGATATCAATACGAGAGATTAATCAATATTTTCATAGTATGGTAAAAAATTCAGAAAAATATAAAAAGGAAAATATCAACATGATATCACTAATACACACATAACGTTAATATTAATAATTTTTAACTTATTTAAAAAAACGAAATGATTATTTGTTAATTTAAATATTTGTTACGAATTTTTTTATTTTTTATAGCTTTCTATATCGATATAGGCATTTTATTGATATTTTTATTAATATTTCCATCAAATTGAAACTTCGACCATCAAATTATATCAATATTTAAAATCATTATATCAATATTTAAAATCTTGGTCGTGACTCGTCGGTATTTTATTAAAAAAATTGTGGTATAAGCATGAATACTAGAGTTATACTAAAAATTTTGTCCTCTTATGAAAGACATGCTATTCTTATCGTCCTCTTCACTCATAAAAGACCAATTTATATTGCCAAACAATCAAAATGAGAGGCCACAGTGGGTGATTTGGGGAAGCTAATTTTTTGGTTTCTCGTTTTCGCTTTTTTTAAATTAGATAAATAAATTTACTTATAATCGTGATTATTTATTGTTTCTTCTTGTTGCATGTTCTCTAAAAAATTGAATTAAAAAATAAAATATTTTATTTTAAAATTAACTATACAAAATTTTTTAATGTTATATTTGATGATTATGTTTGTTTTACAAAAATTTACATAATTTTTAAACCATTTCTTAAAAAAAAAAAAGAAATAAAGAACATTACTAAATAAACCTCTTTCGACATGAACTTATATATCATATGACTCAATTGATTAAAACATGTACTCTCGACTAAAATGTCAGATATAAGAATGTTACTAAATAGGCATCTTTCACAACATGCACTGAACTTATATATCATATGACTCAACTGGCTAAAACATGTACCCTCGACTAAAATGTCAGATATAAGAACATTACAAAATAGACCTCTTTCACAACATGTCGCTGAACTTAGATATCGTATCGTATGACTTAACTGGTTAAAACATGTACTCTCAACTAAAATGTTAGCTGTTCAAATCTCCACCTTTACATGTCGTTGAACTAAAAAACGACACTTCACAGCTCACAAGCGAAAGGTGAAAGAGTTAAACAAAGCAGCCACGACAGCACAAGTTTAGATGTTGATTCTTTGAAGATGGTCGGGGAAGAAGGCAGCCATGGCATTGGAAAGGCTAAAATCATTAGAGAATCTGAAATATACAGGCGAGGACTATCAGAAGATAGCTTCCTCCATCAGAATCCGAGGAAACAATATTACGACCAAAGTGTTCCTATATATCATATCTGTGCTTTACAGATCAACCAACAAAGTACAATCAATCCCCAAACAATGAAATAAACCGACGACTCGCACGCTACCCTTCTCTGCCGCTACAACGAATCCAAAAAAAGAAAAAAAAAATCCAAAAGAGAAATCATATTCACTTGACATACACATACTTGGGATGTCGGTTTTGATTCGATATGAACATCAAGGGAGTGGTTTTAGACTTGTGCGCTTGAAAGACATCTCCATTGCTTTACGTGTGGACCCTTCTCGAGAAGCATTAGCAAACCGACGCCATTCGACAACCCGAACAAGTACCTGCAGTCAGTCCCATAAGAGATATGAACAATGGAGGCAGAAATAGACCCAAATTCACATTCACATGCGACCATGTTGCAACAATATGATTGTAAGAATCTTCCGGTTCGCTCGAAGAGTAAGATAAAGATATTAACTCAACGCAAAAATGTTTCCAGTTAGACCTCCCACATGACTACTATCCTCTACAGATTGAACATTGATTTGGCAGTAGTCTAATTAATTCTACATTTTCCTGATGAGCTAAAGGGCAAATAAATAAATAATCGGAACATAACGACATAGAATTCAGGCGAAAAACACGAAACATCCAAAATTAGCCAAGAAACTACTTACTTGCTTCGACGGGCTTTTCTTTTCCAAAAAACGAAGGATACGATCCACTGCATTCACAAAAGCAAGAAGAGAATTAGGTGAATTAGAACAAAAAGATACATCAGAGCCCAGAGGAAGGCAATATCAAATGCAATTCCCTTTTGGTGAGTACAACAAATTTGTGTACGGGATTGAACCTTCAACTTCAAGGAAGGTAATTTGGTACCTTATCCATTAAGCTATGCTCGAGTTAGTTCAAATGCAATATTTGACGCTTTTAGAAATCAACAAAGAAAACATGCATTCATAATCTACAGTCAAGCCAACTTTTAAAAAGTATGTCATGCTTCAAACGATCAAAGGAATGGAATATATGGAATGTGGAAACAAAAACCAATTAATACCAATGAGGAACTAACTTAGAAATCCGTTCAAAGTTCAGTAAAAAGCAGTGCAAAATTTTAAATATGAACAAATTTCTATGGGTTTCATGTGAACATCATAAACACAGTTAAATCACCTTAAAAACCGACATGAAAGAAAAGCTCTTCGTTACGGATGGCTTCTTCACGACTACTTGTCTCTCTGGTGTCATCTCCTTACATAGATGTTGAGCTATTTCTTTCAGTAACACCAGTTGGGCCTTGTCGGTCCGCATCGAAATAATTGCTTGCCTCATTGATTCTCTGTCAGCTTCAAGTGCCTGAAGCCTCAAATAAAGTTTCTTGATTTCTGGATCCCCCATATCTACCTGATTCATTGAGCCTCTGGGAGTGGTTAGATAGTCTTCACAAATGCCGACCGTTGGTTTCGACTCGGAAAAACCATTATACGTCGCTCCATTGTGAATGGAGTCAATGGTATAAACTCTATCACTCATATCATCTCCAAATTCTGATGCATTATCCATTTTCCTCAAATTAGAGTATTCCTCGCACTGCGACTGCAAGACATATTCCTTCCTGAAGCTCGAGGCATGTCTCGGAGATTCGTTCACTTGGGGCATACCCATGAAGAAACTAGAGTCATTCGAAAACTTCCTAGAATGTCTTGACCGCCTAGGAGATTGCCCCACTACCACCTTCTCTAAAATGTTCTTTGTACCATAGAAGTCCGCATCTAGCTGGTTATTGGTGCTAGAACTTCTCTCCAATTGGCTGATCCTATTTCCCAAATTCATAACGTGATCGCGGTTACGCGGGGTCTCACCAAAGGCATATTTCTCAATATCAGCAATATCGTTATCGTGATCTAGAGGACCATGAGCCTCGTTCAAGTTGCATTTAAGAGGAGGATAATCGTACATGGGAGATTCACATTGTGCCTCATATTCCACAATATTTTGGCTACAACTCTGCTGACCCCGCTCACCATCTGCCTCAGCTTCTGTTAGCCCAAAGCTCATCATCCTGTGCTTATAAGCTTGTACCTCGCAAGTGAGAGACTGAATAGCTTGCTCTCTCTTATATAACAAGTCCTCAAATACTGCAAGCTCCTGTTGATCATGAGCCATCTTCTCTTCTGCAAAGCGTTTGAATTGTCGAGCCTCCATCTGGATCTCTGCCTTCTCCCTTTGCAACCTCAATATCATTGACATTGCCTCATTAGCAGCCGATGAAGAAGCATTCCTCTCCTCTTCGAGTTCAGTATACAAATCCTGAATTGCTTGTTTTTGATTACTAACCATCTCGCGCAGAGCATTACACTCATTCTCAACCTGTACCCGTATAACAGAAAAAGTATCCAACCCAACAATAGCAAATGGGCTATTCGATTCCAACTCGTCATGCTTCCGTTTTACAGATCGAAGCCAACTAGTTGATGGCCCAGTGGATAATGAACAACTGCACGGACAATTACAGCATTTCACCAAATCCAGTGAAGATGGAAATGCCTCCGAATCCATAAACCAACGTGCATTCAAACTCTAATCAATTTGAATCCAAATCCAACACAATTTGATTCTACAACTAACGATAAATCCAAACAAGGTAGAAAACAACCCGGAATTAAAGTTCCCAAATCCACTCTCTTGAATTATGGACTTCTGTATGCAATTATCCCCCCTCCTTAAACCAGCTCTTTTTCCTCCAAGATCATAAACGAACAGGACCAAACTACCTAAGTAAGAAAAGGAAATGAAATAAATAAATGAGGTCAGAACTCAATAATAAGAAATTTTTCATACCGCTACAACCCAGATCAACAAACAGAGAAAACGGAACACGTCCACAAAACATCATTCGCGGGTCCATTCCTCCTCCAAATTCAAAACAATTTCCACGAAAACATAACAGCAAAAAAACGAGCGAAAAGCAAGAAACCGCCATACCTTGGAGGACCTAAAACGACCCGAGGAGGCGTCGAAAGAGCTGATAATCAAGAACGATTCGTACTTTCCCGCGAAAATTCCATTTCCCAAAACGAAATCTCGGGATTCGATAACGAAGAAGAAGAAAAATAAAACGACCCCAGATTACAGAAAACCTTCCCCCACTTCTTCGAATCGGAAAAACAAGCTTACAACCTCGAAAAAATGGAAAAAAATAATCACAGGAAACACCAAAGCGGGGAAAGCTTTCTTGGAGGGAAACAGAATCCGGAGGGGAGGAGAATAAGAGAGATTTGGAAACCCTAAATTAAATGAAATTCTTCGTCTTATCAGGTCTCTTTCATTCGGGTTTCTCGATTTCTGCGATTAATTGTTGATGAGAGAGAGAGAGAGAGAGAGAGAGGGGGGAAAAAAGTTTGAGCAGAGAGAGAGGGACGAACGAGAGAGAGAGGGAGATGGACGGCTAGATTTGGGTGCGAATCGCCGATCCGTTGGAGGTTCGTTTGTCGGAGCTTTTTACCAACTAATTACCTTGTCATTTCGATTAATATTTTATCTCTTTTTTTATTTTTTAAAAAACAAATAATGATTTTTTTAAATGAAATATTTTATTTTTAGATAATTCGATAGATTTTCTTTTTTTCCTAATCATGGAAGTTTTTTCTCTTCCGCCTGTTGATTAGGACTCTTTATCTTCTTTTGTTTTTAAATGAAAAAAAAAAGATAATTACAACATTATGGTTATGCCCATTGATTTGCAAAATCAACTAACCATATCCTTTTGATTAATTGTGGTTTTTGATTTTCAAATCATGTTTCCATCCCTCTATCTAATCTGTTTCGTTAATATCGGGATAAGAATACCTCAGACTAGTTTTTACGTGGCAATGACTAGTGTATTTATTTATTTATTATTTAGCTAACTATGTTAATTAGACTATGTAAAAAAACTATGGTAATTAGAATGAAATTTAATGAGTTAATAAAAAATACAAGAAAATATGTGAGTATTTACAATTTACGTATGTTAACCTGAGCCTAGTTCAACTACTTCAGTCATGTACCGCCAATTAAAAGGTTGGGTTTTAAAACTCCACTTTCATATGTTATATCAAAAAATACACATTTAGTACCAATTTGAGCATAACTCAATTGGTTAAGTTATATATTTTGGATTTGAAACCTCACCTGCTATTTTTAGCACATCTATCCATCATCGTGGCATATAGATATTTTTTTAACTATAAATTGTTATTTCTTCTAAAATTACGAATTTGTCCTCATTTTGATTTGAATATGTATACTCCCTAATATTTACTACTCATCCAATAATAATGCTTCAAGACATTTTTTAAAATTAAAAAGGAAAAAAAATCAGAACCAATCGATAGTATCTCCCTATTAAATATATCAATGGTTTTTAAATTCAATTAACAAATTCCACCTTTATTACTTTTTATTTTGTTTAAATTAAAAATGATTTTCACGAGATTTATGAATCGTCCATAAAGTTTTTCAAAATACCATCTACATGGCAGCCATGTTATTATTATTTGTGATATATAATAATACTTGTTATTATTATTTTAACTTTTTAATAATGAATGATTGCAACTTTTCAATTTTTTAGTCATAATTTATCAAATTATAAACCAAATCAAATATGGCGTGTTAGGCATTACTCCACTTTTTCCCACTTGACATTGAAGTTTGACCATGTAAAAACAAAAGAAAATTATGAATATGAGATTAAGATCATGCTCCTTAATTATTTATTTATTTATTTTTCTTTACAAACAAATGTTTTTTAGTATAAAAATGGAGTAAAATATTTGCATTTATCACCTCTGATTGCCTGAGCTTAGCACATATTGGCATTACAAAAATTTAAAATTTTTGTAGGTTTAAATGGTTGACCTTGACTCATTTTGATCAATGTACTTTTGAAACGTCTATTTTTGTTCCTGTATTATGAACTTTTGTTCATTTTAGTCATACTCTCTAAATGTTTGGTTTGATTCCTAACTTTTTAAAAAGTGACCATTTTAATCAATTCGTTTTTTATTTTTATCTCATTTATTTACATCAATATTTTAACATGACGTTTTATCTACAAAATTTTTTGAAATGTAGCAATAAATCTATATTAACAGGGTTGTTGTTATGTATAAAATTTGTGCTAACATTTTAGAAATAGAAACTAAAATTGTTACTATTTAAAAGCACGATAACTAATAACAGACGTTTTGTAAGTAAGACTAAAATTAACAAAAATTTAGATGTATAAAAAATAAAATAGACAATTTGAAAGTTGAAGTTAAATAAACAAAGTAAAAACTTCAGAGATGATCATACCATTCTTTTAATTTGAAACTCTAGTTTTCTTTGTTTTTTTTACATATATTTTCAATTTTTTGATAGATTAATAATTAATAATTATTGCAATGTTGTATTGGTTCCCCGTCTCAATAATAAGTTAATTATATTAAAATTATGGTGAAAACTTTTTTCTTTTATGTTTTTATTTGAACTTTCTCATTGTTTATTTCTAATGTTACAAGTGACATTTTATGAATGGCCCACAATTATTTGAAATTTGAAATTATATATTTTCTTTAATGCCCTACAAACTTTGATATTTGTATTTAAAGAATGACTTTAATTAAAAAAAAAAAAAATACATGGATAAAGCAAATTGTGGGGCAGAGGTATTTCCTCGCTGCAGCCTTTGACAGCACAACCACCAGCTGATATTTGGCTGGGAATATTTGTTTTTGTTTTTATTATTTATTTATTTGTTTGTTAGGATTTTGAGTATGAAAAATAATTTCATTTTTCATAATGCAATTTCCAAAAAACCCTTTCGAAATCTTAGTTAGAAAATGATTTCCAAAATCGTGTCCACGAATATTGAATCCAATATCTTGCCAGGCTTTCAAATGTGTTTTTTTAATAATAGCAAAATAAGTCACTTTTTATTAATAATTAAAAAAACTAGAAACAACAATAAAATTGTTTTCAAATGGGAAAATAATAAACTCAAACTACTATAAAATAAATCTAACCATCGTTTGCTATCATGGTAGATGTGGTTTATTGCAATTTAAAAAAAAAATTATAAATTTAGCATTTTTTTTTACTCTGTCAGTACTCGTATTTAATATCAATCTGAAAAGTTCAATGGGTGAAGACATATATTTTTTACTGGATTCGAATCTGCCTTAAATTTTGGTCTATACTTTCGTCATGTATATTTTAGTTCATATTCTTTCGAAACGTTTGTTTTCATACGTATACTTTTAAAAAAATGACAAATTTGGTTCATTGTTTTTTCTTTTATCTCATTTTTTTAATCACGAATTAAGCAATACACCACACTAAATAAAAAGTTTAACAATAATTTTGTATTAAAAAGTTTCCATTGCGTATATAATTTGTGTTAAATTTTTACAAATAAACACTAAAATAGTCACTTTTAAAACATATAGGGACAAAAACGAACATTTTAGGAGTATAAAGGCTAAAATGAGCATGGGTTAAAATTATCGGGACCAACATCGAAAAAAAAAATTATCGAGACCAAAATGGTCATTAAAAATATAAGGACCAAAATAAACCAAAGTTCAAATCACGGTACTAAAATAGTAATTAAACTTTATTTTTATTTTTTACTTTACAAAATCAAATTTTAAATTAGGCTTGAGATAGATAGATAGACCAAATTTCCCCAATGGCTTCTCTGATGGTCATGGGCCTCCACATAGGCATAATAGCCCCCAACAAGCCCATTGCTTTGCTATTTTACTGGCTTAAGATATAAATATATATATATATAATTTTTTTTATTAAAGTCGGTGGCGCCCAAGACCTTAAGGAGGTCCCAAGCCACCCAAGCTCCTTGTAGACAAAAAAATATATAATATTACTTGGGACAAAATATACCTTCGGTTTCTCATGTATGGAGTAGGTGTCTATTTGGTCATAAAGTTTCAAAGCGACAATTTTGGTATTTGGAGTTTGAGAAATCGTTCTAAATAGTCCCTACATTATTTTGACCATTAATTGACGTTAAAATGACGTGGCGATGAATTTGGTGATTATACTTGTTGATTTAACAAAATAAATTAATTTAATAATATGCTGAATTACATAAGAGTTTCATAAAAGTACAATAAGCACAAACATATTATTAAAATATTTTATTTTGTTAAATCAACCAGTACAATTAACAAATTCATGATCATGTCATTTTAACGTATAGTCAATTAACTGTCAAAATAATCGATTGACCATTTAAAATAATTTCTCAAACTTCAGACATGAAAAGTGTCTCATTTAAAACTATATGGACCAAATAGATGTCTACTCAAACTGATGGATCAAAAGTATATTTTATCTGGTAATAATTTGTCCGAAACAATTTTGTTAATGATATATCGTAGAAGGGTGTTATGAAAAGTTTCTTTTTAAGTTTAGCAAGTATTTGCAACAATGCAAGTGAAAATGTGATTTTGTATACAAAGAGAAAATGTTGTATGAAGTCATATGAAGCGAGTGGGTTTTTATTTATTTATTGAAGTGTAACATATTAGGGACAAGCCTGGCAAAGGACTAAAAGATAAAAAGATTAAATTATGCACCGTAAGTTTATCGATTTGGTTCTTTCTCTGTGTATATTTTTTTTATGCTGAGTGTCTGAACCAGCTTACACGCACTCAATAAATATAAAGGAATTACTAATTCTTAAGGTAAGTAGCCATCGTGAGATTTGAACTCATTTCCTCTTAATTAACCCTAGCCTCTTTGGACCGTTCATAGCAAATCATTTAGAAGGTCACAGGTATCAGTTCAACGCTTAATTTTGGAGTTCTTATGACAGAGCTATCGAAAATGAAGGTGCATATTATTGATATAGGTAGTGACTATCAAGTATTTTAAACCTTTCGTAGTCATGATTCCATGATCTCAAAATTTATCTCACTCGGATGTGGTACCGGTTCATTCATATACCTCTCATCTCTACTCGAGTATCACAAAATTCTATAACAACGAGTACTTTTAGGTGCAATAAATTACTACATACTAAGTCATATCAACGAAAATAAAGTAAATTATATATTTTTTTGAATAAGTAGTGTGTCTATTTCATCGTATTAAAATATAATATTATTTTAACTCAACTAGTAAAATATATTTTTACATTAATAATATCATTGTGTCAACTAATTTTAACATTCTTCGACACGAGTTCAACTCAACCTTTATGCCGTCTCTAAAAATTATAGGTGGAATCCTAATCCCCTCGTTTATGGTAAGACAACAACTAATTTTAACATTCCATAAAAAAAGATAAAATTGATTGAAAAAAATTTAAATACATTTTAAAAGATTATTTGAGAGAAAAAAGGGTATTTTATTTGACAAAATTGGGCAAAGAAAAAGTTGCATATTTCATATTTTACCCTTCTCGTCTTCTTTCTCGTTGCGAAAACTCCCCAATTTCA